TTTAAAGCAGTTTCATGTTTTTCTTCAGTAGAGTTGTCTGCCAGCACTCAGAATGACACAAAGAGAAATGGGGATCTTGTACTGGATCTCCATATATGGATTTCCCAAAGAGAGTATATACAGGAAATAGGAAATAGGCTCTCAAATTCTTTTTTTATGTGAAGAGTATAAGTTCCATTTAATTTTCAGGCTTTGGGTATAAGGCTGTTGTGATTAAGTCAGAAAAGAGCTTTGGATATTAAGTAGCCTACTTTTCATACAGAGCTCATCTTGTATGTTAACCTATTCCCCCGGGGGGAAGACAGGTGTCAGCCCTATTCTCTTTGCTGGACAACCATAACTCCATGGTTTAGCCAGGGCTAAACCTGTCTCGCCAGTCTACTTACTTAAGGCAAATAATTAATATGAATACTTCCTAGACTGTGTGTCATTGTTAGTAATTGCAACCCCTCTATAACCTCAGTTCTAAACATACAACATTCTAACCACTCTCATCTGTGATAGATGCTGTAGATGCTTTGTCCAAATCTCTTTATGTTTGCTTGGCTTATACATGTCCCCTTCTTTAAAGATTTCTCCCAGAAGATTGGCGCTATCTTATAAAACACTTAGAAGGTTGTGTCCTATACCTGGGACAGTAGACTAACGAGCCATTCTGGATTACCTGGAACTCCTCCCAGTTACAGCACTGAGAAATCTTTCATCTCAGAAAACTCATCAATCCTGAGAAAACAGGTGGTTGGGTACCCTAGCCCCAGCTAGTGGCTGACTCATGTGAACGTACAAGAGCCTGACAATACTCCTGACACCACATTTTTTCTGCTGGGCAAAATATTTGGTACCATTCTTGCTCCAGAGCTCCTTCGGAGTGGGACCAGAGCCCCCTTTGGAGTGGGGCCAGAGCCAGGCCTTAGCCAAGACCACCTTTTTGCTTAGCTTTTCCTTCTGTATCTTGCTTGTCACTTCCTGATATGTTGGTTCAGAGAGCTTCCTTTGATAAATTGCTTGCTCCGGAATCTCATCTCAGACTCTGCTTGTAGAGAATTCAGCCTGAGACACTTCCTAATCTTCCCAGATTTTCTCTCAATAACCTAACTCCAATAATCTCCAATAGGGGTCCATTTTCTTCAGTTTCATACCTTCTTTTTACTTTATTTAAAATCTGTACAACTTTTATTTTCATTCTTAGCTAATTGTTGTTTCTTGCTTGTATTTTGAAAGATTAAGCTCCCTAGAAAAGGATTTCCACAAATACCTACCACCACATTTACCCTTTACCTACACATGTACTTGTTTATTGTCTTTTGTTTCTGTATATCATTGCTGTTTAATAGATGTTTTGGTTAGGATGAAAATGTTTTGTGTTTATACTGTCATGTCACTAAGCCACCTATGGTCATTAAATAGCACATGAAGCTAGTGTAACTGAGAAGCTGAATTATTTTAAATTGTTATTCTTTGTCTTTGCCTTGCTGTATCTTGAACTTACATTTGATAGGTTAGTCTTTAAACCCTTTTTTTAGTTGACTTCCAAGATGCCACATTTTCTTGGTCCCCCCCGCCCCCGCCCCAGTCCCAACCAACCATTCCTTTTAGAGTCCTTACCTGGTTTTTCTTCAGCTAACTGATTTCTGAATGATGGTGCTCAGGGCTCGGCCCTTGGTTTGTTTCTGGTTGCTTAGACTTTTCACATGGACCCATAGTTCCACCTTTGGACACCTCAATGCTTTTGTATATCTAATAGGAATCACAAACTCAGCATAACCAAATTGATTTTTCTCCCAGGGCTGTTTTCCTCTAGGTGTCCCTGTATTAGTAAGTTAACAACCACTTCCATCTTCTGTTTACATCAGCTAGAAATCTTGGTATTGGGCTCGACTTGCTTTCATACCATGTATCAATATATACATTTGTGATCTCTTGCTGTGTAGCAAATCATTATAAATTACCACAGAATAACATCTTAAAACAGCTCAAGGGCCTGAGAGATGGCTCAGCAGTTAAGAGCACCAGCTGCTCTTGCAGAGGATACGGGTTTGATTCCCAGGGCACACATGGCAGCTAACAACTGTCCATAACTCCAGTTCCAGGGGGATCTAATGCCCTTTTCTGACCTCAGCAGGCATTTCATGACATGGGTGCACTTATATACTGCATTTACATACATGCAGGAATAACAGTCATACACATAAAATATCTTAAAAACTTCATACTATCTGACAGCTTCTGTTGATCAGGACTGAATTTTTTGTACTTGAGTTGTCTCCTGGCCTACATTCTTATCTAGAGACCTAACTGAGGAAGAATTCACTTCGAAACTCTCTCAGAATCTGCTGGCAGAATTAATTGCCTGTGATTGCAGGGCTGAGGGGTTCCCACTTCCTACTGACTGTTGGCTAGATGCTGCCTTCAGCTCCTTGAGGCTATGCTTGGTTCTCACTTGGTCCTTATGGTTGTTATATATATTTATGTCATGAAATCACAAGAAGAGCCTTGATTTAGTCTTGCTAGTAGAATGGTCACAGAAATGACATCCTATCATCTTTGCTGTCTTCCACTGGCTAGATTCAAGTCTTTCATGTTGCTCATACTTAAGGGGAGGGTATTATGCATGGGAAGCAGGGAGGGTACGGAGTGTCATGAAGACTACTAAAGTATCTGACTGCCATGGCTTATCAGATTGTTAGCACTGCCTTTGAAGCTTGTCCCAAATCTAGAGCCACTGTGGTGCTACATGATGTAATCAGTCCTAGAACTAGGGAGGCAGAGGCAAGAAGAATGTAAGTTCCAGGCCAGGCTAGATACATAGAGAGAACCTGTCTCAGAAACAAACCACCAAACAAAACCTAACTACGCTCATGACTCCTAGTGCTCCTACTATGAAAAGAAAAGGTAAAATTAAACTTGTGAAAGTGATTGCTCCTACTGTTGTTACACTAGATATTTGTAATAATCATATGTCATACCATTTGTGTGATCTTATTTTTGCCCTGACATCATTCCCCTTTCCTCTGTGTGTATATATATCCATGTGTTTGCCTGTGGAGACTGAGGTTAGTGTCAAGTTTCCACCTCAATTTCTCTCTACCCTATTTTTTATTTTTATTTTATGCATATGAGTATGTATGTAAGTGTACTCATGTCAGGCAGTGGGTATCCATGGAGGTCAGAAGAAGGCATTGGATTCCCCTGGAACTGGAGTTATAGACAGTTGTTAGCCTCCATATGGGTGCTGGGAATTGAACCCAGGTCCTCTGTAAGAGCAACCAGTGCTCTTAACTGCCGAGCCACCTCTTCAGCCTCTCCACCTTATTTTTTGAGAAAAGGTTTCCTCACTAAATCAAGTCTTAAAAATCTTCCTGTCTCTGCCTCCCCAGTGCTGGGATTATGGGCATGTGTTGCCATGCACAACTTTTCATGTGGGTTCTGGAGTTCTGAATTTGTGTAACAAGGAGTCTACTAACTGAGCCATACCCCAGCCCCTCATTCCCCTTTCTTGAACTAAGAAACCTAAGGGTCTTTTTGCTAGTCCCCCTCCTTCACAGCCTGTACTGTAACCTCCAATCAGTTCTCATCAACTCTGTCAACAAATGCAAGTTATATTTATTCCTTTATAGGTCCTGCCAGGTCTTATTTTCTACCTAGTCTCCAGGTAGTAGTGTAGTTCTATCTGATTTATTTAATTTTATTGCTCTTAATCTATTTTGTAAATGTGGATGGAATATTTTAAAATTTAAAAATTCACAATTTATTACACTCTTATAATTCATTGTCACCAGGCTTCATGGTGCATACCTGTACTCCCAACACTCAGGGAGCTGAGTCAGGAGGATAGTGAGTTTGAGGCCAGTCTGTACTATACAACAACACACACAGACACACATTAGATATAATGTCCTATTTAATTTGACTTCTGTTTACCTTCCCGGGTTAAGTTGGTTTCTCTCCTACCTGCATTCTCTGTGCTGCCTAACCAGCCTAGTTTCTTTGCTCAGAACTTGTGTGTAGACTTACTCCAGGGGTCTTTGACTTGCTCTTCCCACTGTCTACACTTCCTGCTACAGTATCCCAGGGCTGGTTTCTTCTCACCCTTTAGATTTCACTGAGAGATCTTTCCTAACGATCTGATTCAGGCAGATTTTCACTCCTGTTGTTTTAATAGTTCTAATTTCCTTTATGGTGCTGTTGATTATTTTAAATTACATTTGTGCCCATTTTCATAGATGCCCACTTTCTGTCTTTCTACTTATGTTTTCAAAGGTTAGGGACTTGGTCTATTCTGGTCAACTCAAGGCTTAGTTCATAGAAGGTGCTCAAGTATTTATCAAATACATGGGGGAAGAGGTGAATTATACTTACTTCACACATTTATTAATGTCATCTTTTGCTCATGAGCCACATTAGATTTTAGATTAGAATGTCTTTTGGGGGGGGATCTTTTTGAGACAGGGTCTCCCTGTAGCCCCAGCTGTCCTGGAACTCACTATGTAGACCAGGCTGGCCTTGAACTCACAGAGATCCGCCTGCCTCTGCCTCCTGAGTGCTGGGATTAAAGGCTTGTGCCACCACACCCTGCTAGAACATCTTTTCTTATACTTGATTTAAGAACTGATTTTTCAACTGAGTGTAATGGAGCACATTTATAAGCTCATCTCTTAGAAGGCAGAAGCATTTGGATCTCTATAGCTCTGTAGCCCTTCTGATCTGCATAAATAAAGAGTTCCAGGTCAGCCAGGGCTGCATAGTGAGCCCTGTCCCAACAACAACAACAAACCACCATAATTTTTAAAGCCTTATATATGTCATATGAATGCTAGTATAGTTTTATTAATTTCTAGTCTGTTATTTTAGTCTATTTAATTTTTATTTCTATTTTATTTCATTAATTTCTAGTTCTAAATTCTAGTTTTATTAATTTTTGTAAAAAGTAAATATTGTGGTTCTTTTTTAAAGTAGTATTTTGGATAGGATTATCCTGTCTCAAAAAACAAAAAATAGCTGGGGTTGTAGCTCAGATTGTAGAGCACTTGCCTAACATGCATGAAGCCCTGGGTTCAATCCCCAGCAACCTCATAAACCAGGCATGGTAGTGCATGCTTGTAATCCTAGAACTCTGGAGGTGGAGGCAGGAGGATCAGGTGTTCAGGGTCATTCTTGTCTATATAACAAGTTCAAGGTCAACCTGAACTATAGGAGAGCCTGATGCAAAAACAAAACAACAAAAACAAAAAACAAAGCATTAAGCCAAAAAGCAAAAGCAGTAGTTTGGAAATCCAGTTATAAATTTTGTAGTCATCCTTCTCATATTCTCATATGACTGTTACACTTTCTCCTTGTTAACCCAAATTTTTAAGTTGTGTTAAAAAGCAGTTCCTAAGTTGGGTTGTGGTAGCTCATACATGTAATTATAGCAATTGAGAGATTGAGGCAGGAAGATTGTCAAAAGTTTGAGGCCAGCCTGAATTACAGAGTGAGACCTTCCTAAAAAATATAAAACAGGGGCTAGAGAGGTGGCTCAGTGGTTAAGAAGTTAAGAACACTGATTGTTCTTGCAGAAGACCTGGGTTCAAATCCCAGGGCCCACATGGCAGCTAACAACCATCTGTAACTCCAGTTCCAAAGGATCCAACAGTCTCACCTGTCCTCCGCAGGCCTTGCATGACACGGGTGCACTTACCTACGTTCACTTACCTACACATGCACTTACCTGCATACATACATTTTATTGTTGTTGTTGTGTTTATATATATATATATATATATAAATGTATCAAGCTGGGTATAGTTGTGCACGCCTTTAATTCCAGCACTTGGGAGGCAGAAGCAGGTAGATCTCTGTGAGTTCAGAGCCAGCCTAATCTACATAGTGAGTTCCAGCCAGCTGGGGCTACAGGAAGACCCTGTCTCAGAAAAAAACAAACAAACAAAAAAAAAAACAAAAAAACAACAAACAAACAAAAAAACAAAAAACAAAACCACACACCAAAAAGCAGTTTCTGTTTTATGTCATCCAGTGATCATCTTCCAAAATACTCTTGACCTCCTACGTTAAGATTGCCAGTTGAAACTTCACTACTGCATTTCTTTCCCTTGTGCAAAAAAGAGATAGTTTTGTTTTGTTGTTGTTGTTTTATTTTTGTTCTGGTTTGCTTTCTGTTGCTGTGACCATAACCAACTTGGGGGAAAAGGTTTGTTTTTTCTTAGACTTCTATCACTGAGGAAAGTCAGGGCAGAACTCAAGCAGGAGCAGAGGCAGGGACCAGGGAGGAAAGTTGCCCATTGGCTTGCTCACTAGCTCACTTACACTCTCACTGGTTCATGCTCAGATACATACACACACACACACACACACACACACACACACACACACACACACCCATCCATACCCATGCAGTATTCTTGGTAGCCAGAAGACATGTCAGATCCCCTAGAACTAGAGTTACAGATGGTTGTTAGCTGTCATGTGGGTGCTGAGAACCAAACCCTGGGTTCATTACTAGAGTAGCCAGTACTCTCAACTGCTGAGCCATCTCTCTGGCCCCTCAGCTAGCTTTCTTATACAGCCCAGACCCACCTGTCTAGGGATGTGTATTGCCCACAGTGGGCTGGACCCTCCTACAATTAGCAATCAAGAAAATGTCCCATAGACATGCCCACTGGCACATCTGACTGAAGAAATCCCTTGCTGAAGTTCCTTCTTCCCAGATGACTGTAGTTTGTACTGAATAAACAATAAATACTAACTTCTTGGGGGTTTTGTTTGATTTTGGTTTGGTGTTTTTTGTTTTGTTGTTTGTTCATTTTTTGTTTGTTTGTTTGTTTTTGAGACAGGGTTTTGCTCTGTAGCTCTGGCTGGCCTTGAATTCTATAGAGATCAACCTGCTTCTTCCTCTTGAGTACTGGGATTAAAGGAGTGCACCATCACACCTCATTTTTTTTTTCCTTTGGTCTTTTTGAGACAGGGTCTCCCTGTAGCTTCAGCTGTCCTGGAACTCACTATGTAGACCAGGCTGGCCTTGAACTCACAGAGATCCGCCTGCTTCTGCCGCCCAAGTGCTGGGATTAAAGGCGTGCGCCACCAAGCCGTTGTCTTACTGCAAATAAAGAAGGGTGCAGCAATCCAGATCAAAAGTACAGGGTTATCCTAACCAGTAACTGCCATTTGTTTTCCTTTGAAAATGGCAAATTCTTCTTGGGACCATCCTTGTAGTGGTTCCAACATGATTCACAGAGGTTGTGAATCTCCAGATGCTCTGCCCAACATTGTTAGAAACGCTGCAAAAGGTACAGAGAAGGAAGGGCAGGCGAGATGTATCATAACAAGTCCGCCTTTTTATGTCACCGTGTTCTTTGGTGCATTTTGTTAAAAAAATTCCTGAGTGGAGTTAAATCATTTGTGCTTTGATAAAATATTGTATCTGAAAAAAAATTAGCGAGTGGTAGAGAGACAGAGAGGAAGAAAGGAGGGGGGAGAGAGAATGAATATGAATGAATGAATGAATGAAGAGACTGATAATTCTTCAGGATTCCAAACAGAAAAGTAAACTACATACAGGGGGGAATGGTGAAGCTGGCCTCAGACCTTTCCATAGCAACATTCAGTATCAGCAGCAACTTTCAAGGGAGCAGCATGTGGAAGGCTGTAAGTATTTTACCCAGTCAAGATGTCATTCACCTGTAAAGCTTCTTAGTCACCTGCAGGCCTTCTTAGTCATAAGGGAGCTCAAATACTGGAATGTGTATGAGAGCTGCCTTTAAACACCACTTGAGCAGGCCATGGTGGTCCATGCCTGTAATCTGAGCACATGGAAGGCTCAGGTAAAGAAGACTGTAAATTCAAAGCCATGTGTGGGCTACGTAGTGAGATTGCCTCCAAAACAAAATACCACTTGACAGTGAAATCAAAACAATAAAGAATTGAAGAAGTCGTCATAGTAGGACTGTGATGAGATTGCTTCAGCTTACACACAGATTTTACTAAATCACAATAGAATTACAGTTCCCGGTGGAACATGAACACATGAACATGGACAGTATGTAAACTGTGTACCAAAAAACGGAGGAAGAAATGGGATTGAATGCAGATGCTGAAGTTCTCAACTTTGAAAGCAGGAAGCTAATAGATTCTAAAATTAAATAGCATATGATTTTGAAACATCAGTGAGTTATTTTGTTAATAAAAGAATTCAATAAGCCAATAAATAGTAATTATCACTTAGGAACTACTACTTAAAACTTAAACCAAAATAATTGTCATGTGTTCTTTAA